TTGTCTGCAAAATGGGGCAGTAAAACTCAGAATTACTCCTCTTCTTTGCAATATTGATAATTTGTAGCTTATCAGGTACTACGTTTCCGTCGTCCTCATTAGAACTTTAAACCCAAATGCAGTAGCAGCCTCACAATTTAACGTTTCTCTAACGGCTCGCGTTCTTAATTCGGACAATGTGTATGACCCATCACTAGTTTAAAAATTGTCAGCTCTTATTTGCACTCTTGCCTTTCATACCCACCGGCGTGTGAAGCGTCGACACCAGGCTCCAATGTGCAATGCGTCCAAACGTACCCTGACAAGGGTTGCTTAAACATCCACATGAAAACATCTGCGCGGCTGGACGGCTCCCAAAGTGAAAGTCATCAATTTTAGCCCAACTCTAACGCTTTTCATGGACGGAAACAACAACACATATCTCTTGACATCCCATGTCCCCCTATCCATTATCTTACTATTCAGCTGATGAAAATCGAAGCTGCGCGTACAGGAGTGCAATGGCATCTTACTCAAAAGTCCTTCCTTAATCTCAAAGGTTGAATGCTCAGAGCTACCAAACAGAACCCTCTTCTGCTTCACAGTCCACATAGATCAACATTTTTGTTGTGATGCACGCAGGAGTTGCTTACTTTAAAACCCACAGACCAATGCGCATGGAGGATCGCCGCTGATTTGTGTGATAATTGCAGCCTAAAAACTAACCGCGCAGTAGAGCCTAATGAGCCCTTGTGATAGCTCGAACTCTTATGCATCAACTCAAACTTGGTCCATCAAAAAGCCACAATAACTTCAACTTGTCCTGGGATCCTAGCTGCTTTTATAGCCTAGGGAAAAGCCTCACGTTATCACCATACAGACGTATTTGTCGACTCCGGCTCTTACACAATGTCAGTCCGGCTCTCGTGCCTCAGCCCAGGTTAACCAACTAAACCCTACCGGCCTGCTAGATAACCCGACGGCCAGTGTGATCAGTCCATTTCCTAACCAACTAAACATGAACACTGCGGCTCATCTATGGGTGATAGCCAAAGACATTCCATGTCAAGCTGTCAGCCATTTGGTCCGCTTGTAAACCCGGACCGATACGCTGTCCTACCCAGATCAGTCGCGCTGTAATCCACCATCACGTACACCGACACTTCCATAATAACATCATGACCCCTGGCTCTGTCATTCCTCCTAGCACTAGACCTACACCCATCTATTCATTGGCTCTCAGGATCAGAGTTCTTGAAGATCTTGAGTTCCTCGCTGCCCTTACAAGTAGGCAAAATTTTTTACTCCCTGCAGCAACCACGAATACCTGCACCAACCCTAAGAGCCCCCGCAAATGTAGCTGATGCAATGCATACTAGACCCAGAATGAGAGCTGCACTGGATTGTCTGGGAAAGCGGTCTTGTGAAAACCATCGCTGTGTACGGTCTTTCCACGCTCTACCGAATTCATGCTGCAGCGGTAGACTCAGACAACATTTCTGAACGCTTCGTTATGTGACGCAGAGGCTCGGCCGCACCTAAACCCGCGCTCCTGTCCTATATACTGCTTTTTCCAACAACTACTTGGTGTGCAATCCGCCTCACACAACCTCGATATTTTTCTCCTGGTTTTACGCGCTCGCGTCTTTAAAAGTCCTTTCAAATGGCCCCGAAATCGCATGCTGTTCATAGGGAGCCTTCTTACGCGTGAAGCTTATTCCGACCTACATGATATCCACCTTTTTTCTTGAGTACTAAATTCTTGCGATCCCCTGCGTTGTGTACTATCCGGTAGTGTCTGCAGAACATTTGTAATAACGGGACTAATCGGGCATAATAATTTAATATTTGCAAACGCCGCTTTCTTACCCGTCGGTTAAGTTCGTGACGAACATACTCGCATTTGTGGGTGGTTTAACCCAAGCTGGAGGCTTATATCTTATGCTACAGGAATTCGACAGAGTCCCACACGTCCAGCTGCTCAAAATGCCCGAGACTTACGGGCGTCAACAGATGGTTCTACACCGAATTACGTTCTTATCAGACAACATTCCGGGTGAAAGTTAGGTTCTGCTCCAGTCTTCAATGAGGTCACACAAGGCCCTGTTTAGAGACCACCTTTTTTTCTGATCTACGTCAACAAAAATGCGCCTGCATCTGGAGTGGTCAAGTGGCCGTTTTTTACCTCCCGAGCGCCGATCGAATACCCGATGTGCTTTGAATAGGTGAGACATGAGGAGGATTCCTATCTCGTCTCCAGCCAGTTTGTCAAAGGAGACTTTGTCAAGGTGCTGCCACCAGCTAGCCATTTCTTTGATGGATGGGACAGCATGCATGGGTAAGCTGGTAACAGCAAATGCCCTGTCGATATCTATCGAATATATTTCATCCGCTGATAAAAGCCTGATATCACGGGCTTCTTATGCGCAGCACATGGAACCGCCCAGAGCATCAATGGCCATAAAAGTTGACAGCAGCCTGACCCCGTTTTATTTTGGAAGGTCTGACTCTAAGGATGTTGTGGCAAACGGGCATCCCAAAATGTATACCTTTTTGCTCCTCTTCCTGGAGTGTCAAGCTTAACAGTAATATTTCTCAGGCACGCGAAAAGCCGCCAACGTCGAAACTTTGCAGATTACCCTGCATCGTCCCCAGTTTTGGTGGACCCAACAACCGCTACAATCCGACATCTCAGAGCAAACGATTGCGTTGCAATCTCCAAACGTGTGATAGACTTCGAAGCGAACAAATACGAATTATGCACCCGTATGCACTCAATTTATCCGAAACCTCCATTGGTAGAAAGCGCTGGCAGCTGGAATTCAGGTAAGGCTGAAAACATGGTTAACAGGCTCTTAAAGCACGGTCTGTGTCTGGCCTCATTGTTGCTGAGAAGCTTGTAAAACCATTCCGTCCGAAAGCTTAATTAAGAGAGGTAGCCGGCACAGGAAAGCTTCATACGCCCTCTTCTCTGGACAGCTGCCAAAACCGACTTTGTGCAACCCTGGAAAGCGTGTCCACAAACTCTGCCGAATCAGTGAATGCTGAATCTCGGCCGGTCATCGATGTTTTATCCGCTACATCAGCCCACTTGTACTGCAATGATAAGGGAAGAGGACCCAAATTTCTCTCCAGAACAGCAAGCAAGTGCAAATCTGAAACGAAGCGCATTTGTGGCAGAGCTATCTCAACTTCGCATATTACGCAAAAGCCCAAGAGTGAATTGGCCTATCGTGCCAATCGGAACAGGCTTTCTGTAGAGAGCAACCATTAAGTTGATACTGACTAAGAGGATTTCATGAAATCCCTCAAGCTATGGAATATGCTACTTCCGGCGGTAAAATCACACATTCCTCAATGGCTTCCTTCGCGTCGCTTTGACAAC